TTGTTGTTAATTCGGAGGTTCACATTAAGTACTCTTTTCTTATTAGGAGTTTTCTTGAATTTTTCTATAAATAGACTCTCTTGTACTCAATTTTTAATCAATCATTCAATCAATCAATAAAAGCTATTCAAGCTTAAGGTAGCCGATGGCTAGCTTGCTACTTGTGAGGTTTCTTCAACCTTTTTGTTACATGAAGAATTGATTTCAACTTATCAAGGTAGTTTTATGGCATTTTAATCAATTCATTTTCTTTCATCCCAATTGCCTTAGTTCCAATTACTTATTAATTGTAGTTTAAGTAGGAATGGTCAATTTATGAATTAAGTTTTAATGCTAATTGTGTATGTGTGGATTCAAATTGCATGTTAATTCTAGGTTCCGCATCACATTTCCAACTCTCCACCTGATACAATCTAGGAGCTTGTTCCTACCTATGCATTTTTTTTTTTAAATCCCTTTCCCGTGCGGTCTAGTCGATTATTTGCTGTACCAACCTCTCCATGGTCCCAACCTTCAGCTCAATCACCCTCCACAAAGCAACCATTTTCTTTCATGAATCTCCATAGTCACTTTCCTTGTAAAGCCAAATTCATCTCCATTAAAGATCTTAACCCCAAACCTCCCTAACACAGACTTTTTAATCTCTTCCCATGCCACCAGGCAATACTTCTTCCTATCTGCTGAGTCGCCCCATAGGAATCTACATTATAAATGTTTACATACTTCTGCTGCTTGTTAAATAATTAGGATACAAAAAAATTTGGTACCAACAAGTGCAACAGTTTGAGCTATTGGCCAATAGACTTTCAAAATTATGTTGATAAAGAAAGATGATATAAAAATTATACTAAATCCAAAAAAGAGGTCAAGAATGAAGTTAAATTCAAAAGTTAGTTTCAAGAACATGTTAAAACGTTAAGAATTAGTACCTAAACTGACAGGATGCCAGGCTGCATGTCAAACCAACAACATGTTCAGCCACTTCAGCTTCATCTGCACATAGCCTGGAATGCACGCTAACGTAATGTGTGGTTAATTTTGCAAACACCTGTAAGAAATATCACATTTCATGCCACTTAGAATAATCATGAAAAGAAAAACTAATTCTTTATGCATTTCTGCTACTTACCTCCTCAATTGGTGGTCGTTTCCAGTGATTACTACTTCCTGGCATCTTATATTGCTCTTTTTCTCTAAGTATGAACAATATCCAATAATAAAAAAGTTAAATCATTTTATAGAGAACTGGCACTAACAAATAGCACCTTACGTCATTACCGAGTATTGAGCAAACAAGTAATATGAAACAATAAGAAAGAAAGGAACAAATAGCCATAGATGTAAGTCAACAAAATGTATGTAAAATGATCGCAAAATTATCTAATTTAGCTTCAAAACAGTCTCACCTTTTGTGGATGTATGCCATTAGCCTATTTGTGAGGTAGCAAATTGTATAAGATGGATATTGACTTTGAACTCTTGAAATATTATCCAGAAATATCTCATTTCTAACAAGATTGCAAAATTCATCAGCCTCGTATATAAGTAGTATATATGGAATCCTTATCCCTTGCGGAAACAGCTGCAATTGAATAATGATAATATGGGTCAGGGCGACAAGAGATACAAGGAACTATAGATTACCCCAGAGATGAACCTTAAAGCAAGAGTGTGACCCTTTAGCATAGCATTAAAAGTGTAAAAAGTTGCTAGATAACATTTTTAGTTGAATTCAGCAAGGTATTAGTGGCATCTTGAAAACGAGTGTTTCTGAGAGGATATACTTGTTTGTCTTTTAGTGCTGCAATTTGTGATTCTATTTTGGATTCTTGCAAACAAATATAACAGCAAAAAAAATTTCATATGAGAAATAAGATGGGCCAACATCAGTTTCTCATAAAAGCTTCCGAGAAAATGATGCATCACGACTGAAGCTTTAAATTTAAAGACCAAAAAGGCTAGAGCACTCCATATAAGAAACTACCATATTA